AACCCTAAAACCCTAAACCTTAAAATCCTAAAAACTAAAACCCTAAATCAGCCTAAAACCCTAAGACCCTAAAACCCTAAAACCCCTAAAACCCTAAACCCAAAGCCCTCAGCAGAACCCAGGAAAGGAGGACCCTCGCCGGCCTGGCCCACACCCGAGCCGATGGCGGCCAAGCCGATGGCGAAGCCGGCCCCGATGGCAGACAAAGCGGGGATCCAAACGGCACCGTCCTCTTGTTTGTTGGGGTTGGGGTTTAGGGTTTAGGGTTTAGGGTTTAGGGTTAAGGGTTTAGGGTTTAGGGTTCAGGGTTTAAGGTTCAGGGCTTAGGGGGCTAATCCTTCGGAGTGTTGAACGGGCGAATATTGGGGCAGGGCTTAGGGTTCAGGGTTTAGGGGGCTAATCCTTCGGAGTGTTGAACGGGCGAATATAGGGGCAGGGTTTAGGGTTTAGGGTTTAGAGTTTAGGGGCCTAGTGCTTTGGAGTGTTGGGGTTGTGGGTTTTTGGGTGGTTTTAGGGCTTGAGGTTGAAAAGGACTGACTGGGATTTCTGAGCGCCGGAATCCACACTGCGCCTTCCTCCAAGGTTGAAAGGGCTAGGGCTTGAAGGGTTATGGTTTTAGGGCTTTGGGGTTTTTGGGCTTTAGGGCTTTAGGGCTTTAGGGTTTTAGGGTTTTAGGGTTTAGGGCTTGGGGCTATAGGACTTGGGGCTTTAGGGCTCAAGCTTTTATAGTATTAGAAGCCCAAAAAGTTGGAAACCCAATAGCCTCTATCCTTAACAGCAATGTATAGGGAATCCCAGCACTAATTGTCCTTAGTCCGGTTTCCAACTTTTTGGGGTTTACTATAGGCGTCGGGGTAGGGCTTAGGGCTTCAGGGCTCCAGGGTTCCAGGGTCCAAACCCTAAACCTTAAACCCTAAACCCTGAACCCCTAAACCCTATAGTACCCTTTACAGGAAGCCTAGGATCCCTGTAGTACCCTTTTCAGGAACCCTATGAAACCTCGAAAACTCCGGGCGAAGGGTGGCCTCAGCATGAGCCGCCTGAGGAGCCACCAGAGTCACAGCACCTCGCAGCTGCCAAAAAAAGAGGGGCCTTAAGAATTAGAATAGGGTTCCTTTAAAGGGATCCTTAAAGGGTTTTATAAGGGATCTATGATAAAGTTCTATATTGGGGGCCTTAAGAATTATTAGAATAGGGTTTAGGGTTCAGGGTTAGGGCTTTGGGGTTGGGGGTTTAGGGTTTAGGGGTTTAGGGTTCAAGGGTTTCAGGGTTTAGGGGTTTGGGTTTAGGGTTTAGGGGCCTTAAGACTTAGAATAGGGCTTTGGGGCTCCTTTAAAGGGTTTCTTAAAGGACTCGAAAAGGAAGGGATTAGGGTATAGGGGCCTGAATAATTAGAATAGGGTTTTGGGCTCCTCTATAGTGTAAAACAAGTAAGGACCCCTAGGGAATAATGTGGTTATTGATTTCGGCTTCTATATTATGGTTTCGCATCAGGGGTTATGGTTTGACATTAGGAGTTTTGGGGCATAGGGGATTTGGGCCTGCGGTTAAAGTCCTACGGGTCATAAGGGTTGTGGTTTGGGGTTTGCTGTAGTGGTTTAGGGGGTTTAGGTGCTCAGGGTTCAGGGCCCCGGGATCCGGTTTTGGGGCTGCCAACCTGTATAGAACCCTTAACGCAACCCTTCTTCGTAATCCCTTATTGCAGTATATTAAAGGACAATAGGAGGGACCCCTGAAAGGGACCCCTCATCCAAATACCCTATACCCCTTATATAGTCTCTTAAAGCCCCTATATGCCCCCAAGGGTCCCTTTAAGGGTCCCTCCTTTAGTCCCTTGAGTATAGCAACCTTTACAATAGCCCCTTACAGCCGTTGCTGCTTTGCGGCTCAAGGCTGCAGTGGCGGCGGGAGGCATGCTTGGAGCAGGAGCGGCACGGGGCGCCGCCACGAAGGCCGTGAAGAGCGCACCTTCGGAAAGACAGTATCCAACACAAGACGGCCGAGTATACCCCTAAGTGCCCTAACCCCTAACATCGAGTCCTAAACCCTGGCACGGTCCCGATTATGTGCAGAAATTCGAACTGGGCTCCTGGCCACTGCAAAGGAGAACGGCTCCGGTCAGAATGAGGGAGCGAGCCATCCTGAGAAAAACGCTGGGTGGCACGGCTGAATGACTACACCTGCAGCCACAAATATTATGTGTATATATATACCTTCAGAAACCGCCCTCCGTAA